AAAAAAAAAAAACCTGCATTACGTTTTCAAACACTACGTACAGCTGATTTTGACGTTAAATTTTCAGTGGCGTTTGGCGGCATTTCGCAATTGTTTTATTTTCTTGCATTAAGCTGAAATTAGTCGAGAACGCAGAACGTATACTTAAACGCAGTCTGTATACGCAGAATTTTGTCGATTACTGGAGCCCTCAGTGTTGCTTACTACACTGTTGCCACTCATCAATGCCTTTTCATAAACTTACCCTTTCAACTACAATTTATCGTGCTATAATAGATTTTAGCTAAATATAAACTACTTAGTTTTCAACAAAAACTTTATTCAATAGTAAATTTCAAATATTTTGAACATATTTTGAATAGGAACTTATATCTTTCTTACCATCTGTAAAACTGACGAAGTGGCAACCATCTAAAGAAGGAGAAATCAGCTGACACGGAAAAATCTAAATTCCGCAGATTTCTGCGCTACCGGCTACAACTACAGAAAAATTCTGCGGTGTTGAGTTTTCATTTACATGGCGCTTTGGTAAGACAGATCGTGTCAGCTGACTCGGGTTTACGTACCGGTAGGTTTACGTTCTTGACTAATTTCAGCTTTAAAAGTATTTTTGAACAATTATGGCACCGGCTTTTGAACCACGAACATTTGTAAATGGCGGCATGCTGCGCAAATTCAATGGCCAATACGTGAGCATAATTTTGCGCATCGAAGAAGAAGCTGGTACAAACCTCATTGCAATGTCCACAGACAAACAAAAGATACGCGTAAAACTGCAAGATCCAACTGGTGGACGTGTCGGCAGCTGGATAGAAGTCATCGGAAAACCAATTAGCGGTGATGCCATCGATGGAAAAGAGGTAAAGTTACAACGCTTTAAATACTTTGCTCTTCAAATACTAAACTTATTTTACAATCTGTAGGCCATTTTATTTGCTGAAGATGAGCCCGGCCTCGATGAAGACGCATACAGTATGATGGTGGAATTCCTAAATAACTGCAAGGATATCTATAGAAGCGGTTGACTTGTTCAAATGCTAAGTTTTCTTATAAAGTAAGATAGTTTAAGGCTGAAAGATGAATTTCGATGCAAACATTTTTAATCGGAAAAAATGCGGCACATAATTGAGGTTTACAAAAAAATAAATGTTTAAGAATATTACACGTATACTTCGGTTCCTGTTCCTGTTCGATAACTCCTGCACATCTCATTCTTTCTGCTTGAATATAGTTGCTTTATATACCTCGTTAACCTTATGTGGCAGGCGTTCCAGATCTTCCATCAGAGACATTTCTTCACGCAAATTATTCAGATACATACGCTGTAGCTTACGTATCATGGGATTGATCACTTTGGAGTTGACAACATCATCCACCGAAATCGTGAGTGTGTCGCCCGAGCGACTTTCCAAAAAGTCGCCCTTGGAAATCTCAGTCATAACATCTTTTTGACTTGAACGCGAATATATCTTATCAGTGCAGCGTTTGCATGAGCCGGATGTCTTCTGTAAGCCCATTTGTTCACCTTGATCTCTTAAACGGCAATCTACACCCTCAGGCAATGGCTCAGGATCACTGCAACACATTTGTTTCAAGGTTTCATCAATCACTTCTTGCAGCTTGACCTGTGACTTGACCATTTTGCGCAAATCTTGCGAACTCTTCCTACTCACCACTGTTTTCGAAGACTTCAGAGATTTATTGCTTTCCTCAGAACCTGGTCCACCGCCGCCAATATTAGAGTCAGTTTCATATAAAAACACATTGGCGTCATCACTATGGTATTTATGTTGATTGGCGCCGCCGGGCACTGGCAGTGCAGCCATTGCCTTTGACTTGAAGTGAGATTGGCGATTAAAACTGTTTCTTTCATTGTAGCAGCTGCCACGGTAACTATCGGCTTGACTACTAAGATCAGGGACATGTGCATCATGGAGTGCGCGGTCTGCATCGCCACCGCTTAAATGCGATGCTTGTCTGCGCTGCTGTTGGTAGTTGTCGTATTCATTTAACTTTTGCGTACGCTGCACATGATCCTTGTATTGCTGCGCCGTACACTGCTGCAGTTGGTAAAACTCTGTCAATTTGGAACGGTCCACGGTACTTGGAACGGTACTATTGGTGCTTACTTGTAATTTCGGATTCTTAATTATATGCCTAAAATGTGTCCTCAAATGTGAACGATAATCTTCCTCGCCTGTAGGGTCCATTGCTTGAAATTAATTTGAAAGTCCCTTACAAAATATATTGGAAACGGACGAAAAAAGGGTATAAAGAGCTTATTTGTATTTGAAATTGTTTTTAACATTCAAAAATATCTGTCCCATTTTGACTTGTGAGTCTGATGTAAAATATCAATTTTCGGTAATGCAGTCAAATCAGGCGAACAAAGTATGAATGAGATAATCCGAATATAGGCCTTCTGTAAGAGAAATGTAGAGAAATTCATTAGGTCCATTCTATAACTTTTCCAACTTGCAGCGAGAGCGTAAAAGAAAAAAAGAGAGTAAAATTGAGAGTAAGAGAAAATTGTCAGAAAAAGTTATTGAACGCAAAACTAGTAAAAACTTGCAACTTAAGCCATTTTGACACTTTCTGACGGTTAATTTTTGGCGCACATTTTTTTTTATTGGGAATAGTTCCCATCGTCATAAAAATAAAAAAAATATACAATAGATTTAAAATTTTCATCCATATTTTCATTTCACTAATTATAGTTGCGTTCCCCAACTTTTCGGGGTTAAAACCTTTAAAACTGTCAAAAGGCAAAAGAAGCCAGAGAACCGAGTACGGGAACGCTTTCTGGTAAATTCCTGTAAATTCTTGCAACGTCTTGCGAGTTAGGGAAGGCAAATTATAGGTGTGTACTCGTACGCCCAACTATCTAAAGTTTTAGAAAACTTACTGGTTTTGCGTTCTCGTACCCAAAAAACTTGCAAAGTAGGGGAAATTGAGAGAGCAAAATATGAAAGAGAGCTGCAAATTTCTGCTGGAAAAATTTTTCCCAGCTAAAACTTGCAAGTAAGAAAATCAGCTGATCACAAACACATGTTTGTAAATAAACAAAAGAAAATATGGCCTTTTTGAGTTATTATTGCAATTTTTATTTGTAATGCTAGTATACAACTAAAAAGTGCGTAAATTTAATAAGCACAACATTCATTGAGTATATTTTTCGTTAATTTGCTATTAATCTCCAGTTTTTTTACTTTAGTATGTGCTGACTATGGTTGCCGTATGACATTTTTCGTTTGTACCATAATTTACCTTAAAATATACCAAAATAGATTTAAATGCAGCAATCTGAAATGTTGTTTTGCTGAAGTTTTCGGTTTTGGTGGGTTGATTGTTGAAATGAAAATTTTATAATTTTAAACCTACTCTATTACATTTTATTGGATCAATTGGATTGGGTGTTTGGAGGATATACTATTGTTTTTAATGCGTCACCATGTGATATCACAAATAATTATGAGAAAAATAACTTATTCATTCCGATATAATTAAATCGTATTTTAAAAAGGTTTTTCTTATCCAAAACTATTGAAATGTATAAAATGCCTAATCGGAGGAAAATGCACCAAGCAGAAAATAAATTGCCAAATTAATCACCAGTGGCAACTGTGCAAGTTGTTTCGAAGGTTGCAAGTTTTTGCAAATTTTGCGTTCTCGTACTTTTGTTGATATTTCGTCTCTTTGAAAGCGAATGCTGCTAAATTCTCAGAACTCTTGCTGCTGGAGAATTTTGTCCTCTCAATACGAGTACACACCTTATGTTTCCATCAAATTATCCTCTTGAACAGTTTGTTTACATTTGAATTTGAAACATAACCTTACTATTTGACTAGTGCAAATTCCTGCTAGTAAAATTTTTACAGGCAAGAATTTGCAGCTCTCTCGGGTTGTTACGCTCTCGTATTCGCTCTCTCTTGCAAATATTGTGGGTTATAGAATGCATTTCCAGTAAAAATTTGCAAGTACTAGTAACAATTCGTAACAATTGTTTGATATTGGATGTACCTATTCTAAATAAACATATTTTTTTTTAGGTTGAACATAGCCATTGTGGAAGAATTTGTACACAATGAACCAAGCTTCGAAGTTAGGACATTTAAAAGTAACGGAGGACGGTTAGTTTTTGTTTTTTACCACCCAATTACTTCGAATACTCATTTCCCCGACAGCCGATTTTATCCCAATAAGAGCTGTTGCTCTTCTTCGGCTGACACTGAGTTCATTCCCGGTCCAGATCCGTATGTATGTGCATATTATACTTCTACTACGTATGAAAGAGACGATTCCATCCGAACTCTTTTTCGGTTAAGTTGTTGTTGTTGTACGGCACGTCAGAAGGCATCTGTACGAACTGGAGGACGAGGCCCGGAGGTTCATAAAGCAACCTCTAGTCCGACATTCACTGGGAGTCAGTCTCGAGTTATGTAGCCTCTCGACCTGTGAATGCCGTTTAGGGCACGCAACCACCAGACATGGACTCGCACCTGAGCGGAGTAAATGTAGATGTGCCAGACGAGTGCCAGGAATGCGGAGGGACACCCCCCGACTCGAGACATCTATTCCAATGCCCACTAAACCCTACTCAACTAACGCCACTGTCCATATGACCAAGGAGGTCTTGGCTCCATTTAAAATCTTACAGTTTCAGTGCCATGGACTCCACAGTAAGATCGAGGAACTGACAGTATTTATGGATGAACTTGGTATATTGTTTGCTCCGATCCTAGGAACGAAGTTTCTGAACTTCGTGGACTAAAATGTTCTCTATGACGATCACCAGTGGAAGTCTAGCGTTCATCTCACACCACACGGCGCGAAATGTTGTTGTGAAAGCTTACACAATTCCGCCGAGTTTTTGGGGAGTTATCCTGGGGCGGCCAGATATAAATCTGGGTCGCTCCGGTTACGTAGCTCCGGTTGTCGTGGGAACCAAACTGAGCGCTATCGCCTAACCTGCTGTCCAGTGATATATCACACTGATATTTCAGCGCTCCTTGGAGGGTGAAAACCGTGAGAGAGTTGGTGTGAGCATGTGGAGATTCTGCCCACGACACCAACCACCTCTTTGCTCGTCCACTCAACCCACCATTATAGTGTCCTGTCACTGGCCACTCTCATTATTTTAAACATCTGTAGATGCGGAAGCCAACACAGGACGTATTGACGTTCGAGAAAACATTTCTCCTACATTTTTAAATGAACTTCGTCGTTTACTGCTCCGGCAATCGCATTGAACGAATTAGATCAAACCGCAGTCCAATCTACACGTCGATGGTATGCCAATACCGGCCGTCTACAACCCGAAAAACACCCGAAAAAACTTTACTTCCTACTTGGAATATTGTCAACCCAGATTTATTACAAAACGACTTAATCACAGAAATTAATAAATAAGTAAGAATTCTTTTAAAGCGCTACAGTCTCAATGTAGTTCTCGAATGCGCGTGATATCAGAGCATGATCCGGTCCCAACTGCGTGTCGGCCATTATAGCTAAACGATATCGGTCCCCGAAACGGTGAATATTCAGCGATAAACCTAAAAAAGAAGAGGAAACAGATTTTTACCCAAACTTCATTACTTCTTTAAATAAAATACTCAATAGCCCTACATGTTTTCGATTGCGGTGGTCTGAAGAGTAGCACATCCTCCCCGGCATGACCCCAGAGCGTTTGAAAGTCCGGCGATGAGCCATGTATTTCCGTTAGGGTAACGGGGAAGTTGTGAGAAAAGAAATTCAAACAGGCCTTTGTTAGCACACGCGGCACCAAGGCGGTCAGCAGATCAAATCGCGTCTGACCCATCGACGCCAGATAGATCATAATCTGCTTGCGTCGTATATTGTCGATGATCGAATGCATTTTGCGCGCATGCTCCCATCCAGGCGCCTCCAGCGGCAGCTGCAGAAAAACGACGCCGCCGATGTGTTCCGCCTTATTACCCGTCTTTTCGGTGAAGTAACCCTTAGAAATGGTGCGACATGTGGTATTGAGCACCTCAGGCACTGGCGCCATATTTCTATGCATGGCGAAGTAGTCGCGCAAGGCGCCAGCCAGACACGACAGCACAAAGTCGGACTCGCGCACCTCTGCGCCGAAATTGTGCCGCTGCCGTAACTCGGCCGCATTAATGGACTTGGAGAATGAGACGATCTTGCGACCGAGTAGGATTTCATTTGCAAAATATTAGCTTCTTTGGAGGGACTCACGAAGAGCTCCTCGTAGATATTAACTGGCGCTTTGAAGATTTCATAGCATATTTTAAAGAATTCTATTTGTGCATACAATATCATCGGCAGGTAGATCGATAAACGTCCGATATGTGTATGCGTAAGATACGTTTGCCCTTTGAAGACAATATCGCTCATGGCCATCAGTTCACAGTAGATGCGATAGGGCAGCAGCACCGTGTTGTTAATGTTGACGCGCCACAGGAACATGGTCCATGTCTTGGCTATATTCGCTGGATGCCACGATGTGCAAATGGCCATCCATGCGACAGGCCATGAGAGATTACGTCTATCGATTTCTTTGAGTAGCAACGTGGTGAGTACATTCAACCGCCCGCAATTATCCTTCTGCACATTGTAGCGGCGACGCAGCTTTTGGTGCAACTGCATAGTGCGCCTGTAGTCCAGGCACACATTTACCACGACGATCAGCAGCACTGAAAGCAGTTGGGTAACATTGGTGATGGGTACTGGCCTATAACCGTCTGGCGTTTCCAGTGACTCGTACTCGTAGATGAAAGCGTTCCAAGTATTTACTATTTGGGCGCCTATGTGATTGATGAGGCGGGGTATGTGAACGGGTTCGTGGTTGTGCTTTCCCTCCATTGCCCATTTGATCGATGTCGATCACAGCTTTGCGTCCATTCTCTTGCAGCATCAGTATTTCGCTGATGTGCAGATCTTCCACTTCGGCAATGATTAGATGATGTACCTTCACCAGCACGTAGTAGTGATCATCCTAGGGCGAGATAAGAAAAATAAGTCACTTGCTCGCAAATGATCGTTAAGCGCATAGGTAGGTATACCATAGTTTGTGACATCGGTGCCAAAGGTGTTGTATTTTCGGTTGCGGTGGGTATGACAATCACCTGCCATTGTGGCAAGTCCGATGGTATGTATTTGGTTGCCAATTCGCTAACGAAGTCTTGTATATTGCTGTCATTCACCGGACGTCCGCGATAGCTGCGTGCGCTGAGCAAAACCTGATTATTGATGTTAAAGGAGCTGAAGAAATACAGCAAAAAAGTAAATTGTCAGTGCTTATGTCCCTAATTCTCAACAAAGTTGTAGATATAAGGCAAGACAAGAAGAGGGAGAAAGTACATAATAATTGGTTCTGATTTGGTTCGCCTAAAATTTCTCTGGAATTCAAATAGCGGGATAAATGTAGACT